ACTAGGATTATTGTTCGATATTTGTAGCGAAAACGTTTTTTGAAAAAGAATTCTTAGCGAAAACTTTTCAGATAAACTAGCGACATGTTGATTTCCTAATATACCAGAAAATTAGGTTAAATTGCAAAATTCTTTATGTAGTCTAAACATGTTTGACTCACCAAATTTCCTTGACCTTGCTCTTGCTGAAATCTCTATAAGTATACTGAAAAAGAGAAAATAAATAAGAATCTTTTATTTATTCTCAAAAAACGTAAGAAATCACACCTAAACAATCTATTAATACTCTCAACAAAAAACATCTTTTTATTCATTTAAAATCGTAATAACCCCAAACATATTGAAAAATAAGATAAATATTAATATATAAGCTATAATAATTATAAATATTTATTTATGTTTTGAATATTATACAATACTCGTTGTGTTATTCTTCAAATTCAAAACTGTATGATGCATGTTATTGAGAAAAAAAATGTTGATTATTTGGAAAGGACATATGTTTAAAGTACGTATTACATATCCATGGTATAAAATATCAACATCGAACTTTGGAAACTAAAGAGGTTTTTGATCAACCCCTCAAAATATTTGGAAAAAAATAAAGAAATGTTAAAACCTGAAAAAATAAATTTACAATATCGGACCAAGTAAGTGTGATAATATACAGCGTTGACTAAGCAGATAATGTAGAGTACTCCTTAAGAATGTGTTGAATATTAGTGGGTTTGGTATCAATCTTTGTCACTATTTATTTTGCATCCAACTTTATACATATGATATATCATTGTATTATTATTATGCATCAGTATTTATTGGATACGGCGATTATAGCTCAGTTGAATCGAATTTCTCAAGCAATTAATGAAATAAAATCGGACGAAGTCGTCTTGCTTGACTATTATTCTATTGATGTCGTCGCCGATCAATCACGGAAGTCAAAGTAAACCTCACTTGGTAGAAAGTCCTAATTATTACTACAATTATTTTTCAGTTGTGTAAATGACTTTCTTTTTCTAGCAGCTTAGTTGACTGCATTTATGGATATTTCGTCGTTATCCATCGAACAACCAACTTTTCAATCATCTTATAGGATCATTTTCTTAAACCATAATGTGAAATGAAAATAGAATTAACGAATTTTATAATATGTAAATGAAAATTTCAATAAATGTAAATTCAAAAGTTATGAAATATTTTTTGGTTTCAGATTAACTGTTGTTTTGAAATTTCTTATACAAACAATATAAAACTCTATTATACTCCTACTGAAATTATTTACATTATTTGATGCTAGTTGTTTTTTCATTATCATTCATTCATTCGTAACCCTTACTATTATACATTTTCCTGTGCATACTGAATGACCTTTTTTTTAATGAGTTAAAATATTAACTTAAAAAAACTGTCATATTTCTCCGCTCGTCTTCCTAGCAGTCGGAATCCTTTACTCCGGCGATCAGTTGTCTGGCTGGAATTAGATTGATTAGCCAACTTTTGCTTTAATCACTTTCTCCATTTATTGAAAAAAAAAGAATTTACACAATAAATAATTATTATTGAAAATCCGAGAGAGTGTAAAGAATATAATTTTTTAGTAAAATCCTTGGATAATATGTTGTTAAAATAATATTCTTTAACATAAATTTTTAAAATATTCATTTCAAGATTCATATAGTAATTAATTAGATATATTGTTTTAATAAATACGTGATTTGTTATACGTAGTTATATGAATTTGTTACTAGTTACTATATATATATACTCCCTCCGTTTCATAAAGAATGTCGTTTTAAGGTTTTATTTTTGTTTCACAAAGAGTATCGTTTTATATTTCAATGCAAAATTTTAAACAATATTACAGTTTTGACCCTATTGATTTAATGTATTAATTAGAAAAAAGGTTATTTAATGCATTAATAAAGGGTAAAATAGTATTTTTAATAGTTTTATTAATAAGTGTGAAAAATGTCAGAATGACACTCTTTGTGAAACGGAGGGAGTATAGATTAGTCGTTGCATATTTTTGTATATGTTTTACAACAGAAATCTGAGAGATTTTTCAAACTTTCATATTGACATCAATTCATATGTCACCATTTGTTATATAAAATCCGTAGTAAGTTTGTAGACTTCTATATCTCACATAGAAATTATTTTAAAAAATTGATACATATGTAACAATTTTATTAGGATATCTCGACTTGCCAAATCGATTTGAAATCAATACTTTTTAAACATGTATCTATTTTTCATTGCTAAATATGTAGATGCTAAATAAATAATTTTATGTTATTGTATATCTAAGAACTTTGTAGACTAAGTTATGACATTTTACAAATAACTATGTAGCTGAATTAAAAAACACATAAAAGTATTTTATTTTGGGACAATATTTTTGTTTTAAAATGTTTTCTATTTGGTTAGCCAAGATGCTGATTTTTAAAAAAGCATGTGTTGTAAGTTATGCTACTATACTGGAGACTTTTTTTTACTAAACTATAAAGGAGAATTTTGGTAGTAATTAATCCATACATATATAATGTTTACTATGGAGGCAAGCTAATAAATTTCAGATGTCTCCGTCTAACCATGTTTCTCTAGTTAAGGTAAAATCTTATGCAACTAAATTAACATTTGCAAGCAAGGCAATATGTTTCCAGTGTCCATATTTCTTCAATCTACGTGTTTTTACGTATGAAATTTGAGTGACAATTGATGAGAATTGACTGTTCTCACAATTACAAGACTAATGATTGGTTAAACTTGCCACCGATCTACTTGTCGTTCTACATCCTCTTACCAAACTAAACTGTAACAAAAAAATGTATTCCTCGATTAAAATGGTTACGAGCTTGTCTACAACTCAAAAGTATATGTTCGGTAATCACATATTAGTCTTAATGAATAAAATTAGTGATGACAAAACAAAAGTATGTAATCAGTGATTTGTGTTAGTAAAATCGTTGTTGTTGTGTTATCATTTGGATTATAGAATTTTAATTAGGTCTTTCTATATATATATATATATATACCTTTATATGATATTTTAAATAACTGAGCATCAAAATTTGACACCGATTGTATATAATTTTGTTCTTAGTCTAATTTTATTTTGCATATATTTTTCTAAATAAATCTTTAAAAAAGTATTGGGTCCTTTGATTATTACACTTCATATTGGACTTCAAATTGGACCGTCATACTTCCCCTTCTGGTCATAAATTAGTTATTTCGCATAATGCATATTTTGGGAAAAAAAAGATGAAAGTAACTAGAGACGCCTTGGCTATCCGTAGACGCATCAATATCTTTTTTTGATTGGCGTTTTTTGCAGAGTTTTGCGAGCTCTCCCGATTTCAATCATACTTGGCCACACATTAAGATGTTTTCATGGAAAAAAAAACGGTCCTCTCAATGCTCTAACGCCCACACCGGATATGGACCACGTTCTGAACCCAGCTCATGTACCACTTTAATGGGCGAACAAGCTGGATTTCTACGAATCTCCGAGGATTAGTATGGGTTTTGGCTAAGGATATTCTGATTATCCAAAGTAAAAAATGAAGGTAATTCTGAATCGGTGAAAACATCAAAGTAGATTTGAGTCCAAAATTTAATTGGCCACTGCAATTAACACGGCAGAAATAGTCTGAAAATTCCTATTTACAGATAGATGTTTATTGAAATTATAATATACATAAATAGCAAGTCGTATATCTACACACAGGTACACCTAACTTTGTTGGAGTGAGAGATGAATTAAATAAAAACTAGAGAGAGAGAGGTTAAAGGAAAATTAAAGTGTTTAAGACAATAGACAGAAGAGAAGGTGGGGGAAGTACGAAGAAACGCACGCAGAAGGTGTGAGCCAAAGCAATTAGTAACTAAAGATTAATACGTAATCTCTTACTTAAACCACATTCGGTTGGTAGGAGTTGAGATGACTTAAGACAACTTCACTCTCTCACTTTTGTGTGGGTCTATTTTATTTTATTTTTCTGGTTAATTGTCTCTTCTTCTTCACTTCCTTCCTAAGCTCACATTTTCTCCAACTCATATTTCAACAATCTCTTTAATTATAACTCATCGAACCATAAACTATATATAAAAAAAATGAAATGAGTGTTAAAGTAGACATCAAAAGAAATGTGATCTAGAGAATATCTCTTAGCACCTAAGTTACTATTTGGTCTAGCATGTGATAATGTAAAACACTGCATAATCACACAAACAAAATTACCTCAATAATGTTTCACTCTACTTTTTGCTATATTTTTTTATATCACGAATCAACGACTTCTGATCCCAAATATCCAACCTTTACAAAACATTTAATCTAAATAGACAAAATATAGGTACACAAAAATTATATATATATATATATATATAGTAAGACTTTCAATGTGATTATATTAGAGTATATTTAGTTTTTACCGCTGTTAATTTTTCTTTGATCCACATATCAGAAGTTTTCAAACTTTTTTTTCTTTACTTTCATTCTACAATACAAATAAATAACGCGAAAAAAATAGCATAGATTATGACCAGCCGACAGGTAATCACAATATGTTCATGTTCGAGAGATAAGATTGGACAACTCAACAATAGAAGAAAAGATATATCAACAATGCTATAAATATTGCAATACATAATACTAGTAAATGGTAGACTTGTTGTAAGAAAGTTTCTCTTGTGTTTTAATAAAAGAACAAGTGAAAATTCTTTCACATTGCATATACATCAACATCAACGTGTCCCCACATGATTCATCAGTCTTAAGTAAAAACAAAAAAGCCATCTCAAACTTGTAATAACTTTCTTACCGTCAACGAAAATTTATTTGACTTCTCCTTAAATTTCTCAGAAAAAATTCAACGGTGATGTAGAACCCACTGAAATTGCAGAGCTGTCGTTTCTCATCCATTCTCATATTCTCTTATATAATACCCTTTACAATCTCCACTTCATTTTCATGCATCTTACTCACTTCATCATCTCTTCTTAACCCCAAACACAAACCAAAAAAAAATACCAAAAAGAAAGAAAAAAATACCAATAATAATATGGATCTTCTCCTTCTCTTGTTCTCCCTTCTTCTCTCCTATCTCTTCTTCAAGATCTGGAAACTCATAGACTCAAAACAAGACAAAGATTGCTACATCTTAGACTATCAATGTCATAAACCATCCGACGATCGAATGGTGAGCACTCAATTCAGCGGAGAGATCATATATCGGAACCAAAACCTTGGATTAACCGAATACAAGTTCCTTCTCAAAGCCATCGTAAGCTCAGGGATCGGAGAACAAACCTACGCTCCAAGACTCGTCTTCGAAGGCCGAGAAGAGCGTCCTTCATTACAAGATGGAATCTCAGAGATGGAAGAGTTCTACGTAGACAGCATTGGAAAACTCCTGGAGAGACAACAAATCTCACCTAAACAAATCGACATCCTCGTAGTCAACGTCTCCATGCTCTCCTCAATGCCTTCTTTAGCTTCAAGAATCATAAACCATTACAAGATGAGAGACGACGTCAAAGTCTTCAACTTAACCGGGATGGGATGCAGCGCGAGTCTAATCTCTGTAGACATTGTCAAGAACATTTTCAAGAGCTACACAAACAAGTTAGCTCTCGTTGCTACCTCGGAATCTTTAAGCCCTAATTGGTATAGCGGAAACAACCGCTCGATGATTCTAGCTAATTGCTTGTTCCGATCCGGTGGCTGTGCTATTCTCTTGACTAACAAGCGTAGCTTGAGAAAGAAAGCAATGTTTAAGCTCAAGTGTATGGTACGGACTCACCATGGAGCTAGAGAGGATTCTTACAACTGTTGTATCCAAACGGAGGACGAACAAGGCCGTGTAGGGTTTTACTTGGGGAAGAATCTACCAAAAGCCGCGACTCGAGCTTTTGTAGACAATCTCAAGATTATAACACCCAAGATTCTTCCCATAACAGAGCTCTTGAGGTTCATGTTAAAGCATCTCATCAAGAAAATCAAGATTCTTCAAAACCCTAGCAAGGGCTCTACGAATCTCCCACCGGGAACTCCTTTGAAGGCAGGGATCAACTTCAAGACCGGGATCGAACATTTTTGCATACACACCGGAGGAAAAGCTGTGATAGATGGGATTGGACATAGCTTGGATTTAACCGAGTATGATATTGAACCGGCGAGGATGACTCTTCACCGGTTTGGGAATACCTCGGCGAGTAGTTTGTGGTATGTGTTGGCTTACATGGAGGCTAAGAAGAGATTGAAGAGAGGAGACAGAGTGTTTATGATTAGCTTTGGAGCTGGTTTTAAGTGTAATAGCTGCGTTTGGGAAGTTGTGAGAGATCTCACCGTTGGAGAAGCAAAAGGGAATGTGTGGAATCATTGCATTAATGATTATCCACCTAAATCGATTTTGAATCCTTATATGGAGAAGTTTGGTTGGATTCAAGATGAAGATCCTGAGACTTTCAAGATCCCTGACGCTTTCAATTTCATGTAAAACGTTTCCGAACAAAAACGCAAACGCAAAAACATTACAAAGGTGACCATATTCTCTTTCTTTTTTTCCTTTTTTTGTTTTTTTCCTCCGTTTTCCGTTAATTAAAATTTTACGTTTACGTGTTTTTATTTTTTAAAGAATCGGATTGGAAAGGAGATATGAATGTAAAAGAAACTTCGATTTAGCTTTGCTTTTTCCTATAAATTTTTTGGTGTTATAATTTTTTGTTGATTCTATACTGTTAAATAATTTAGGAGCATGCACTTCCAATACGATGATAATTTTTATTAATTTGCCATCCTGTTGGAATGCTACCTTCTTTTTCTTATGTTAAATATTGTTGTATCATTTTACTATTTTTTGTATTAATGTTTCATTTCGACTTTATTTTGTAATCTTGTTTCGCATTTACTGAAGCTTGTCAAAGTACAAATTCATGCTACTCCTCTTTTTGCGTGATTATATGTTTTCAAATGTTTGTTTGAAAACTGTATAAAAAACTAAACTTATACTATATTCGAGGTCTATAAATTTAGTATTGAAGTTTGAAAAGTTGGTAAATAAAGAGTCTGCAGTGGACGTCTGAATTGTGATGTTCAGATTCTGAACACGTCTTAATCTATGTTTCGCTGTTTACTAAATCTCTTTTACATTTACATGCGCTGCGACGTAATTTATTTATCTTCCTATTTCCGTTCTTAGAACAATTTTTTTTTGTGTCAAACGTTTTTTTCTAAGAAAAAGTGAAAAACATTCAAATTGAATTGAAAAAGAGTTTGTTTGGTAGGCAAACATTCAATGAGCATTTCATTTCACCACCAGATTCCGGGCCCCATTTTTCTCCACGAAAAATGACATAAAAAATCGCAGTTATTATTAATATTAGTATTTGATTAGGTACGCATAATAAAGTTTACTCATGCCTCACGACAGAAACATATAGTTAAACAAATGCCTTAATTAGGGTCGATTTTGTTGAATCAAATTTAGTAATCGGGAGAGAAAGAACTCAATCAGTGCGATTACTAAACATCCTAATCGCAGATCTCTCCATGGTTTTCATACTGAAATAACCTAATTGAAGAAATTATTGTACCTATAAGGGCGGACTTTAAAAAAGAAAAAAAAAACCTAAATGGTTAAAGACAACTCATACTTTGTCAGGAAACTTGATTCTGCGACTTGCTTTATGGACCAACTATCTCTATTCTCTGTAACGAATTCAATATAATCCAATTTTTTATTACAAAACGAAAACGAGAGAAACAATAATTTTGCATTTAAACCCATTGGTTTTGATGATAAAACAAAGCCATTGTTTCCAACGACAAATGAAATAGTCTAAATTTGAATCAGTATATCGTTAATAAATTCAGAGAAAGTTCATCAGGATCTGTTTTTATGGTACTCCCTCCGTTTTACCAAGAGTGTCGTTTTAAGATTTTATTTTTGTTTTACAAAGAGTGTCGTTTTATATTTTCAATGCAGAATTTTAAACAATATTCCACTTTTGACCATATTGATTTAATGTATTAATTAGAGAAAAAAGTTATTTAATGTATTAATAAAGGACAAAATAGTATTTTTAATAGTTTTCTTAATAAGTGTGAAAAATGTTAAAATGACACTTTTTGTGAAACGGAGGGAATAGTATTTTCAATTAGTTTTTACCACAAAATGAGATTTAGTAAAGCTTTCCCGAAATTGATTGTTTGTACGAATGTCAATACTATTATTTTTTGAAGTATTGTTTCTATACTCTTGTTTGAGATCAATGTAGTTATCTTATGTAGGGGTTTATTGCTGTCTTCTGTGGGATAGTTATATTTTGATGAGTTAATTTTCTAAAAATATACATTAATACAACAAATTGGTGGGAAATGATTCAAATGAAACTGTTACTAATAATAATTAATTGAGAAAACAAATAGGAAACAAATCTAAAAAGGTAATAAATAGGGACAGGTAAGTGACAGTATATAGGGAGCGGTCCAAAATTGAAATAAAACTACTTTTGCTACTCTTTCTTTTAATTTGCCACTCAAAGACAGGTGGACATTTATTTCTCACTCTCACATGTGGCATTATTAGGTGCCGTTGATCCTTATAAAATATGTTGCCAATAAATTGGGATTTGTACCATTGAGAGTTTGAGACGACCCAACATGATTCTATTTCTCTTCGGTTTAATAAATCCAACCGAAGACGATCGTGCTAAGTCATAAATTTACTGCCTGATTTCGTAATGTCCGAATCTAATTTATCATTGAGTCATCTATTTTTCTTTTTCTAGATACATACATTTCTGAAACGGATTTAATTTCTACAGAATTCATATATTTCTTTTTTTTGGACAAACCATATATCCTTTTTCTTTTTAGTTCCTGCAACCATATTTTCCATTCCCTTAAAACTTTGGGGATAACATAGCATCAATGAGAATGAGTTAATATAACTCTTTGATTAATAAAAGATAACTGAGAAAAGTAGAGGTTAAAGCTGAATTAACATCTCTTAAAACTTCAGAATAGTTGCTTAACATTTATACACTAGTAAGTGTGTTATGTAAAACCCTAGCCACTATGCATGCCCCCTTCTTTCCATTTTTTATCTTTAATTCGAGAAAGGGATTACATGTTGACCTTCCATCTTCTTCTCCTCGACTTTCCTCATCTATCCAAATCTCTGAGAGGCATTGATAAATTTTATTGTTTCATATTGTTATTGAAAGAGATTATGCAAACGATATTATCTTTTAAAATTATTGAGAGAGCAGCGACAATTGATTCCTTGCATATGTTCTAGAGGACACTCCACTCCCCTTTAGAATAATTTTATTATAGGCATTGTGGCTAGAGTTTTATTCAAAATGTTGACATATTGTCTGGATCATGACTCAAAACGAGTGATATGAAAATTAAGAAACTATGGGAACAAGTAGACTTACGTTATGACTTAAGATCAATTACAGAAATTTGTCTCTTTGATATTATTATATAAAGGCGTGGTGTAGAATAAAGTGGTCGATGGACTCGTCCTTGAAGCAACGGTGGCAGCGTGGCTGTGATGAGTCAAGATTGTTAACCAACTCAGGTATGGGCTTAATTCTTCGTGTTTGGATCATAATCTTTTAAAATAGGCCCATATGTCCTTATTCGATAACCGTGGAGGGATGTATCGACCATCTCGTGAAGTGGCTCGACCATATTGTTCCTTAGAGTGGTTTGGTTGGTGAATCTTCAATATTCCAGGCTGGTTCGAGTCGGGGTGGCTCCATGGTCGAATATAGTAAAGTGTGGTCAACTCGGTAAGATTTTTGGTAAAGAATGTTTCGACCAAATGGTAAGCTTTCTCGACCAAGTTGTTTCTTCTCTAGACTAGGTATTCTATGGACCATTTTCGGTTTGAATTTTTTTTTTTTTTTACGCCGTTTCATAAAAATGTGGGATCACAACGAACGCCTCTTCTTATACCAGGAGTGGTCCAATACATTTTGCTACCTAAAATATAAAAAAATTCATTAAATCCATTATAAATAAAGATGTCAAAAATGTCACAACATAGCAAACTCAGGATTCGAACTAGATACTAAATGCTAACAAAATAAGTGGTCAGCCATTGCACTACTCTAAGTTTCCAAAATTTGCTGCCCCTTATCTTTTACATATACTTTTTAGCGCCTAAAGCAAGAGCTTTACCAGCTTTAACCAGAGCCAGTCATGCCTTGCACCATGCTGAATTTTTTTTAATAAATTTGTTTTCATAAATAACTTGCAGAAATCGCATCTTCCAAAAATTGAAACCTAGACTTTTTAGTGTAGAAGCATTAATTAACTTTTAATCGACCACTGAAGTTCTGAACTAAAAAAAATCTACTGGTTTGTATGTTCATATTGCTTTTTTACTTGCAAAAACATATTTGATTTGATAATGATAATGATAATGATAATGTTAAAATCCATAAATCCTATGATGCAAACCAGATTGGGTATGGTTTTGGTTCTCACAAATTGCCAAATACTAGTGGTCCATCATTTTCAAACCAAATCAGTAATTTGCCAATACCTTTTTCCTACATGATTAATCTACAAAGAAGAAAAGGACGACACTATCTATATTTCTGAAAATTGTTCCAAACGACGAGTTTAAGTTATGGGCTCAATTCTTCTACTTTGGACCTCTTAGATGTTTAGGTCCACTAACATCTAAGCCCATTCGAACACAGCCACTGAAAAACTGTTTCATCTCCGGCGACGTTGATCGATTCTCAGCCACCGCTTCGGCGCTTCGTGATGTGAAACAGTAAAACTCGGTATCGGTTTCAACTACATCGCCGAATTCACCGGAAAACTCAGATAATCCCGACCCCACTCTAGCCGATGGCAAATCTATCGAAATCTCCACCTCCGATTCACTAGCCTATTCAGCTCCTACGTCACCAGTGAATCGATTATCCATGTCTCACCTGTGACCACAATAACACAACGAAGCTATTCGACAGAAACTATGCGTAGATGTCTGCGTTGGTTCGTCTTACTTCAAAGGTTGCGTCTTTGGCGAAATCAGGCCGCATAACAAGCGCACGTCAGGTGTTCGATCAAATGCCTGACCGAGACACCGTCGCGTGGAACACCATGTTGACTAGCTATTCTCATTTGGGTCTAGTTCAGGAATCTATATCGATTTTCACCGGTTTAAGATTTTCCGACGCTAAGCCTGATGATTACTCGTTTACAGCGATCTTGAGCATTTGCGCGAGCCTACGCGATGTTGGATTCGGAAGACAAGTCCAGTCTCTAGTTATCAATTCTGGGTACGGATCTTCGTTGCCAGTTAACAATTCGCTTATCGACATGTACGGTAAGTGCTCTGATACTCTTAGCGCAAACAAAGTGTTTCGAGATATGTTCGATGATAGTAGAAACGAAGTAACTTGGTGCTCGCTTTTGTTTGCGTACATGAATGCTCAACAGTTTGAGTCCGCCCTCGATGTTTTCGTCGAAATGCCGAAAAGGGTCGCGTTTGCTTGGAATATAATGATCTCTGGTCATGCTCAGTGTGGAAAGGTGGAGTCTTGTTTAACTTTGTTCAAAGAGATGATGGAGAGTGAGTTTGAACCGGATTGTTATACGTTAAGTTCTCTGATGAACGCTTGTGGTGATGCGTCAAATCTTGTTTGTGGGAGGATGGTACATGCTGTGATGGTGAAGAATGGATGGGATTCAGCGGCCGAGGCGAGAAACTCTGCGTTGAGCTTCTACGCGAAAGTTGGATGCAGAGATGATGCAATGAGAGAGCTTGAGTCTATTGAAGTCATGAGTCAGGTATCTTGGAACTCTGTTATCGACGCGTGTATGAGAATAGGAGAAACAGAGAAAGCTGCTGAGTTGTTTCGTCTTGCTCCTGAGAAGAATATCGTTACTTGGACTAGTATGTTTGCAGGATACGGTAGGAACGGAGATGGAGAGCGAGCACTGAGACTCTTTGTTGAAATGATGAAACATGGAGTGAGTTCTGATCATTTCGCGTACGGTGCTGTTCTTCACGCATGTTCAGGTTTAGCACTTTTAGGACACGGAAAAATGATCCATGGTTGTCTGATTCATCATGGATTTCAAGGTTATGCTTATGCTGGTAACGCGTTGGTTAATTTGTATGCCAAATGTGGAGATATTAACGAAGCAAGTCGTGCTTTCGGGGAGATAGCTAACAGAGATTTGGTATCTTGGAACACGATGCTTTTCGCGTTTGGTGTGCATGGTTTAGCAGATGAAGCTTTAAAGCTCTATGAGAAGATGATAGCATCAGGGACTAAACCGGACAAGGTGACATTCATTGGATTGCTGATAACTTGCAGCCATTCAGGACTTGTAAAGGAAGGTTGCACGATTTTCGAATCCATGGTAAAAGAATTTGGAATCCCATTGGAAGTAGATCATGTAACTTGTATGATAGATATGTTTGGGAGAAGTGGACGTATAGCAGAAGCAAAGGACTTGGCTACAAGTTACTATTCACTCATCACTGACGCTAGTGGTGATAAAAGTTCATGGGAAGCTCTCTTGGGTGCTTGTTCTACACATTGGCACACAGAATTGGGCGGAGAAGTTGGCAGAGTTCTAAAGATAGCTGAGCCAAGCGAGGAGATGAGTTTTGTTTTGTTGTCCAACTTGTATTGCTCGAGTGGACGGTGGGAAGAAGCAGAAGGTGTGAGGAGAGAAATGGTGAAGAGAGGCGTGAAGAAAACTCCGGGATGTAGCTGGATCGAAGTAGGAAACCAGGTTTCAGCTTTTGTAGTTGGTGACTATTCACACACGCACATTGAGGAGGTTTTTGAGATTTTAAACTGCATCCAATGTGATATGAGAAACTCAGACACTTTTGGACCTTGAGGATTAAGAAGTGTTGTATGATTTGAAAGCGTGTAGAAAAAATAGTCATTGAGAATAAATTTCTTAACCTTGATTATTAGAGTAGTATGATTTAATTTTTTTCTGTCAAGATGTTATATTATGATTGAAGTGATTAAACTGTTATATGTATTCGACCGTTAAACTATATATGAAACATTCATTGATGGTATGTTGCTTCAGATGCTTAGGTTTTTCTGTGTGTGTGTGAGTGATTCACATCTACTTTATTCCATTGGTTTTGATATTTTATTTCTCTCTGTTATATGTTCTCCGATTGGGGATAATCTTCTTTGTTTTCAAATCTTTGAGAGCACTACAGATGAAAAATGCGTTGGAACATTGATTACGTTACAACTTACATTACATATTCTCAGCAAATTAAAAAGGATTTGGCTATTGGTCAAATTGTAATGAAAATAAAAAAATTATAGTCACCAAAATGCAAGAGCTTCAAAATGAAGTTAAATACTGTTATTGTTATCAATGATGTGATCCTTGTAAAGTACTGATAAGTACAGTCTTTAGAAGATTATTATTATATTCAATTTAGATTCGATCCTGTTAATTCTAAACCCATTAATCCTATGATGTAAACCAGATTGGGGATAATTTTTGGTTCTTACAAAAGTCAAATAGTGGTCCATCATTTTCAAAGCAAATCAATACTTTGCCAATACCTTACACAAATTACACTTTGTTCCAAAAGAAAAAAAAAAAAAAAAAACAAGATTCCAATATTGAAGATTGGGTTAAGAATTGGTCTTGTTACCTTCCCCAACTCATAGGAATGGGACCTCAATATTGCAACGTTTTTTTTACCACTTGTGAGTTCTTCTGTGAGGGAAACATGCGTTACCATGCACACAACCCTCACCGAAGGCACATTCTTTACCGGTTCCTCTACGACAAAGTGTCTTCGTTGAGGCAGGATAAGTCAAGTCTTTCGAATAAGCTACTTCAGCTTCGGTTCCACATAGTGGCGGAGCCAGAATTTTTTTTCATTAGAGGCAAATGGGAGTATATATGATATTATGTATGAGAGCATTGATATTAAGCTTTTGATAAATTATACCAATTTTTAAAATTTGTTAGGGGCGAATGACCCCAACTTGTTTCATGTACCTCCGCCACTGATTCCTTCCACCACTCCTCCCATCCAATCTCCTAATATCCCAATTCGATTATATTGGCTCTAAAAATGTGTTTACTTCTCTTTGTGAACTCTTCAGAGTTTACATTCGATCACAAACACGGATTCAATAAAGTAAACTCATCTTTTATAAAAAAACACCAGTACAAGAACGACGCTCAAGACTTCGTCTGTTCTTTCTTAGCTAATATGTTTGGAAGAATAAAAGTTAAAAAAAAAAAATAGATTAGTACTAGAATTAGTGGTTTTAGTCTTTTAGACTATCAAAGAATTAAATTGTAATATGAAAAAGAATAAAACTTAGATTAACCTACAATGGCGATATAACTTTAAGGCAAAGGTACACTTATAGATGAAGAAAACAAAAAGGCTAGGAGAGGCAGCCACAACATCTCTGCAGAATCCACTCGAAGCTGCAAGAAACCAAAGAGATTATAATCCTTAAAAACGATATTAAATTATATCACCAAAAGGAGTAAGAGATATATAGAGAGAAGCTTTTTACACATGATGGAGACAAGAACATGGTCTATCTCTGGACAGTGTGAGAATACTATTGTTATGGTCCAATGAGAGAACAGACGAAAGATTGTTTTCAAGAACAAAACTCTTGTTGCTTGCTTCAGGAGAAAAGGGTTGAGACAGAGAAGAAACAGAGGAAGAGAAGTCGTATCTTTCATAGTCAACTCCGTAGCTCACAGGAAGAGAAGACGAAGAAGACGACTTGGACGATGAACAATGTCTGTCCTCTTCCTTCATTGTCCCATTGATCTTTTCTCTCTCTCTCACTTTCCCTGCTCTTTTTTTGTCTCCCGGGAAATTTTTGATACTTAGGTGTTAAACCTAACGGTCATCAACTAACTGTTACAGCCCTAACTACCTCACTAATTCGTGCTGAATCTACAAAGAAGAGGCAAAGATCGCACCAACTGGTCTAATCTCTTTTGAAGAGGCAAAGATCGCACCAACTGGTCTAATCTCTTTTGAAGAGGTCTAATCTCTTTTGGACACACGAGAGGAAAATGAAGAACAATATGTTTTTTTAGGTTTTTTTATATATTTATTTTTACAAAATGAAGTTGTTTTTTCTATCGTCTTATGGTTAAAGATACTAAAAGTAATTGTTGTATTCCTAAGATATGAAAAGCTTATATATGTATTGGTTAGGAAAATTACTTAAGATAATTGTATCTTTTTATGAATTTCTCTAATTATTTTGAAAAAGAGAAAAATACAACCCAGCCGGATTTTAAACGATTTAGGAGATATAAGTATATAACATTTAAACACTAGCTAAATATTAATTTTCAAAATATAAAATCAAGTTTTTTTTTTCATACTAATGTAGTTCTTTTATTGTATTTTTACATGTATTTGCTAAATTATTGAACATTGAACTTATGGTAAAACGCAATTACTAAGAGACCGGATAAAACTTTATTAAGATTTGATATGGAACTATGATTTCCAAAAAAAAACAAAATATTTGGATCCACAAAAATATTAATATAAAAGGGAAAAGACAATGATAAAAAAAAGATATTTCTAAAAGAAAGCAGAAATAAAATCAAATTTTCTTTCTAAAACAAATATTACAAAACTTCTCGATTGGTTATCTAATAAAAAAAAATGAATTTGTTCTACAGAAACAATATCCGTAAATCTAACTCTAAATAATTATTTTAAATAAATATTATAAAACTTATTGATTAACTACCTATCAGTTCCGCATAGGTAACTGAGTAGAAATCCTTGGTTTCTTCCATCAAAAAAGCTAAGTCTGCATAACTCTTGGGCATAGATGCTAGCATTTTAACTACCAAGTCAAAGTTTGATCTATCTCTACCTAGTGCCCTCATTTGATTTGCTACAGATTATATCTTATCAGAGTAGGCCTTAATTTCTTCTCCTTTTATTTTCAAATTCTCAAACTATTTTCTTAAGAACTATAACCTAACCATTTTCACTTTTTCATTACCTTGATAGGAATGTTCCAGAAGATCTCAAGCCTGTTTTGCAGTTGTTGCAGAAAGAATTTTATCAAGATGGTGTCAGCTAAGACATATTAAATGATTTGAAGTGCAGTTGTATCCTAGATAATCAAAATTATCTAGAATCATACAAAAAAATACTAACAGCATCTCCAATGATGTTCTATATCTTACTCTAAACTCTATTTTTAGAGTAAAATGAGGTGCAATTGTACTCTATATGTTGCTCTATAAATAGAGAAATGAACAGTGTTGCTCTATATTTAGAGCAACACAGTTCAATGGCTCTATTTTTAGATCAAAATTTTTTTATTTACAAACAATCTTCTAATTTTAATATCTTTTTATTTTATACCTAAACAATAATATAACTCACAATATTACACTTAATCCAAATTATACTACTAATAACTTATTATAAAATTATATTGACTTACAGTTAAATAACAATATATATTAAATAAATAAATACAATAAAATAACAAATAATAAAATTAGAAATACATAATTAATACTAAATATTAAAAATAAAAATCAAATACTAAACAAAAAAACTTAACACAATTTATTAGATTAGTAATCTAATACTCTGGTAAGTTAACACAATATTACACTTTTAATTATGTGATGTAATAAATTTTCATAATAATTAATGTTAAAAATGTTTTCATGTTGAATTATTGTTAAAAATAAAATAGATAGAACAATTTTAAAATTTTTAAAGTAGAGGACCTTATAAGTAATTAGTATTAAAGAATAAAATAAAATATTTATTTTTAGAGTCAGATATAGAGATGACCATTGGAGTAAACTCTTTCTTTTTTTTAGAGAACTTTATATTTAGAACCAAAAATAGAGCTAACCATTGGAGATGCTCTAAGAGATTAGAGAAAGATCATTTATTTTTCGTGAAACCATTATCAATAAAAAACATAGCCTATAGTAAAACTCGTAATTCCAAATAAAATAGTGAAAAACTCTTTTTTGATATTTCGCTCTAATTAATTCCTACTTTTTTATTTTTATATTAAATTACTATTATTTGGTATGATATAGAAAATATAAATAAATTTTGGATTTGAAATTACTATATAACATTATTTTATTCATTAATTATTCGCTAACACACCCATAACACAAATCAAAAGGTTGATAAAACAAACAAAACAAAAACAGAAAAATACTTTTCGACTCGATGAAAACACAACTACTCCCATTTCTACACCACATAAGGTACAAAGTTCACTAGCTTTTTTAAAAAGACCGTATTTTCTTTTTGAAAAGGTAACTTGAAGGTTGCTGGCTTTTTCCATCTTCACCATCGGAAGTTTTCGACGGCCTCTGTAAACTCTTGCCATTCTCAAAAAATATTTAAAACAAAATAAAAGAAAAAATGATATTGGTAAATGAAATTCATACGTTATATTTATAGAGAGATGTTACTTACATATATTTAAAATTTAGCCTTTTAAAGTAAATATATTTCCAGTATTCTGATTTATATAGAATTAACTTATTACCACTTGTAGCTCTCAATAGTTATCCCAATATGTTATATATAAGGTATAAAAGCATGATATTCTAAATGAAACATTTTCATTTTAACTGTTACAGTTAACCATGATCTGTCAAATGTACATATTTATTTTCAACAAAAAAATAGCTAATGTTTAGATTATATCTTGTAATGCAGATATCATAAAATTTTAACTTATACAATAGATTTTTTAAAAAAATACATAATGCATATACCATTTTTACACATATGGCTTCACACATTTAGATTTAATACTTATCATTCTGAGTCATTTTGTTGTGATTCTCTCTTTTTCTCACTCAGGTTTGTTTTCATCTCTTTTGCAAGTTGTTTTCTCTAACGCTCATTAGCATTCATTAACTTCTCTCACACATATCCCTTCTTTTTGATTACATTCTTCTTCACTTATACATATAGGAGGTTTTCGCCAACTGCTACTCCCTTCCACTTACTACACTAACACCTTAACTCTAGAACTTAGACTGTCTTACCCAAGCCACTCTACTAATTATTACACTTAACTACTCTTACAACTGTTACTTAGACCCTAATAACTCTCATTGTTCTTACTTGGTTCTCTTGCATACTTTATATAACAAGACACTCTTTCTCCTAGGCCTAATTAATCTGCAGCCCATTTCTCATCATAAGGCCGCACCACACAATGAGCCCATTTTTCATTCTGTTGACTTTACCACTTTGACCACTTCTTCTTCTTCACGACATTCTTCTCCTTCTTGTCTTCTTTCAACTTCTTATTGATTCTGATTCTTGTCTTTCTTTCTTTTTCCAGAGGCAATCAAAGGATCACCACTCAACACTCCCTCTTTAGCCTTTGATTTGTTTCCCTAATTCCAGCTTAGGGTTTTGAATTTTGATGCCCTTGATTCTTCTCGGCTTGTTCCTTTGCTGGTTTGAGGAGCATTCATTAGAACGTCAGCATAGCTCCTGGGTTAGTTTCATTTTTCAATTTCTTTCTTGTTATGGGTTTTTATGGATTCAGCTCCCTTTTCCCCTTTTTGCTTCATGGCCCCCTCTTGAACCGTTACCTTATCAATTTCAATTGATTTCAGTTTCTTCTCTTTCTGCAGATTCTTTGCTGAGAATCCTCTGCTTCCTTCCTCCTTCGTAATGATTTTCTTCTTATCACATTCAGGTAACTTCCTTACCTCTTCCTTGTTTGAGCTTTGCAGCTTCTGCTTCTCTTGGCAATTTGTCTTGTTCTTGTCTGTTGGTTCTGAGTTCTGGTAATTGCGCAGCTCTTTATCTCCTTGATCATCTTTGCTTTCCATTGAGTCTTCTCAGCAAGTCTGGCTTGAACTCCTTTTGCGTTTCTGTCGATGATAATCTCGCCAATCAACTTCTTTTTTTTTTCTCCTTCAAAGATAAGTTTGCCTTTTGCTGATTTGTATCACTTTTGATCACCATCTTATTTAGTTTGTTTTCTTGAACAACTTCCTTGGTTTCCTTAATCTCAACTTCACTTTTGTTGAACTCAGCCTTCCTCTGATTCTCAACATTGATCTCAGGCTTCTTCTCCTTTTTTGTTGCAGGGTTTTCTTCAGGTTTTCATTGCTGTGACATCACTGAGCTAGAAGCTTCAACATACCTTGCTCCTTGATAACTTGTTTCAGTCGCTCAACCTTTTTCTCTCGTACCCATTTGCCTAAACTCCGGTGATCTAGCTTTTGTTTACGGAGGGTTCGAAGAAGAGTAAGATTCAGCTGAGCAGGGTGAGCAAAGCTTTCTTGAAGAGGCTGGGCTGCTTCTGGCGCTCGGGGGGCCGAAAGGAGAGCCAATAGCGAAACCAAAGAGAGAGGCGGCCTGGTGGGGACACCTTTGACACTGTGTTCATTGCCTCTTTGCTCAATGACATGTGAAGATGGAAGCTTTTCTTGGCCATTTACACTTCAGCAATTTTTCTTCCAACTTAATCAAGGATGATGCAGTTTCGGTGCTTAAAGGTAACCGTATACCCGTTTGCAATCATTTGCGAGACACTTAGAAGATTCTTAGCAAATTTAGGCACTAGAAGCACATTCTTGACCATTCTCTTTCCTTTGGTTGTCATAACTTCAATGTCTCCTTTTTCCTTGGCAGTTATGCATTTCCATCACCAACTCGGATTGAAACTTTGAAGCTTGTATCAAGTCTCGTGAACAGCTTCTCATTTGGAGTCATGTGGTTAGTGCAACCACTATCAATGAACCAGGTGTTTTCTTCGAAAAGATTTTCATCTTCTTGTCTTGCGGAGAACATATGGTAAACTCTTCTTCTTCATTTTCTTCTTTTCCTTGGGTTGTTTGTGCTTGTTCAGATCTCCTGTTTCTGCAATTCTTTGATATGTGCTCTAGTTTGCTGCAGGTGAAGCAGCTTCTTGTATCTCTGTTTCTGTTGAACTTGGGTCTGCCTCTTCCATTTTTTGAAGTAACACATTTCTTCATTGTGAGTATCTCTTTTACAGAATCCATACCACCTTTTTCTCTATAGTTATTTTGACTTCTGTTTCCTCTGTCATTGTTTGCCATTTTCAGGTTCTTAAACCGAGCATGGAAGGCACCTTCTGCATTTTCTTCTTCTTCATCTAGAAATTTCTTTTTTTCATGGGCTTCTAGAGAACCTATCAGCTCCGCATAGGTAACTGAGTTGAGATCCTTGGTTTCTTCCATCAAAGAGGCTAAGCCTGCATCAGTCTTAGGCATAGATGCTAGCATTTTAACTACCAAGTCAAAGTTTGATTAATCTCCACCTAGTGCCCTCATTTGATTTGCTACAAATTGTATCTTATCAGAGTAGGTCTTAACTTTTTCTCCTTTCATTTTCAAATTCTCAAACTCTTTTCTTAAAGACTGTAGTCTAACCATTTGCATTTTTCATTACCTTGATAGGAATGTGCCAGGAGATCCCAAGCCTGTTTTGCAGTTGTTGCATAAATGATTTTGTCAAAGATGGTGTCAGTTATGGCATATTGAGTTATTTGAAGTACAGCTGTATCCTAGATAATCAAAATTATATAGAATCATACAAAAAACTACTAAGTGATTAGAGAAAGATCATTTATTTTTTGTGAAATCATTATTAACAATCAACATAGCTTATAGTAAAACTCGTAATTCCAAATAAAATAGTGAAAAACTCTTTTGTGATATTTCGCTCCAGTTAATTCCTACTTTATTATTTTTATATTAAATTATTGTTATTTGGTATGGTATAGAAAATATAAATAAATTTTGGATATGAAATTAATATATAAAATTATTATTCATTAATTATCCGCTAACACATCCATAACACAAAACAAAAGGTTGATAAAACAAACAAAACAAAAACAGAAAAATAAAAAAGAAACAAACTAAAACAAATCTCATCATATCCAGAAATTTAATCTTTTGAAACATAAAATACAATCAAAATGCTTATTTTAACAACATCTAAAATGATGAAGGATAATGTTGCTATTTTAAGGTTTCTTCTTGCGTCTTCCTTCTGACCTTGTTTCTAGTACGGGCGGTGGTTGTACTCAGGCCAATTCATATTGTATCTAGGATCGAACACATCAAAAACATTGTTGTTATCGCTATAGTCAAACATTTCCATAATTAGGAATAACCATGTTTGGATCATAGTTCAATGCATTCACATCGAACATTATTCCCTGGTCGAAAAGATCGATATTGTCACCACCAAAAATGTTGTTATAACTTCCACCATAGCAATTCTGAGGAACAATTGCTTGTGAGGGTTGGGATGGTTGAGTTCCCAATTCCATTCTCAAATTTTCCAAAACACTTATTAGACAAGTGGTTTGAGGTAAGTCAAGTTGATTCGGAGGATTTTCCCACCATTTCTCTATTTCTTCTCTCTTATTCCTTATCTTATCCAAAAATTTCTTTTTTTCTTTCTCCACTTTAAGCTTTGCCAACTCCTACAATTAAATTTGTATTGTGTAAGTAACCAACTCACACTTTTATATAATAAAAATTAAACACCTTAATAATGAGCTTTCATCTAATTTTTCGAGTGAACTAAGCGGTTTATATGTCTAGAATTCGTGAACCAACACAATCTAACTAAATGAACGAGAATACCAATATTTTTTGTTTGATTTCCATGCTAATTATATGTTTATGCATGTATATTTGACATATATTGAGCTATTAATGTTTTTTTTCTTATTTAATGTAATTGACATGGTGAAGCATATAAAAATATAGATCACTTATATATATTTGTATAAAACATAGAAATCAGAAAAGCAATTGATGTTTACCTGAGTGAGTTGACTGTTGAGATCTTGGATAGTTGTATTTGGACCATCTTCAAAAAACATAAAAGGACCATGGAGATAATTTTCAAAACGGTTAATTACAGATTTAATATCTGGATTTCCAAAAGAAAATACTTTTCGACTCGGTGAAAACACAAGTACTCCGATTTCTACACCACATAAGGTACAAAGTTCACTAGCTTTTTTAAAAAGACCACATTTTCTTTTTGAAAAAGTAACTTGAAGGTTGCTGGCTTTTTCCATCTTCACCATCGGAAGTTTCCGACGGCCTCTGTAAACTCTCGCCATTCTCAAAAAATATTTAAAACAAAATAAAAGAAAAAATGATATTGGTGAATGAAATTCATACGTTATATTTATAGAGAGATGTTACTTACATATATTTAAAATTTAGCCTTTTAAAGTAAATTTATTTCCAGTATTTTGATTTATATAGAATTAACTTATTACCACTTGTAGCTCTCAATAGTTATACCAATATATTATATATAAGGTATAAAAGCATGATATTCTAAATGAAACATTTTCATTTTATCTGTTACAGTTCACCATGATCTGTCAAATGTACAAATTTATTTCCAAAAAAAAAATAAAAATTATAGCTAATGTTTAGATTATATCTTGTAATGCAGATATCATAAAATTTTAACTTATACGATATATTTTTTTTTTTAAAAAATACATCATGCATATACCATTTTTAGACATGTGGCTTCACACATTTAGATTTAATACTTATCGTTCTGAGTCCTTTTGTTGTGATTCTCTCTTCTTCTCACTTAGGTTTGTTTTCTTCTCTTTTGCAAGTTGCTTTCTCTAACGCTCATTAGCGTTCATTGACTTCTCTCACACATATCCCTTCTTTTTGATTACATTCTTCTTCACTTATACATATAGGAGGTTTTCGCCAACTGCTACTCCCTTCCACTTACTACACTAACACCTTAACTCTAGAACTTAGACCGTCTTACACAAGCAACTCTACTAATTATTACACTTAACTACTCTTATAACTGTTACTTAGACTCTAACAACTCTCATTGTTCTTACTTAGTTCTTTTGCATACTTTATATAAAAAGACACTCTTTCTCCTAGGCCTAATTAATCTGCAGCCCATTTCTCTTCATAAGGCCGCACCACACAATGAGCCCATTTTTCATTCTGTTGACTTTATCTCTTTAACCACTTCTTCTTCTCTTCACGACATTCTTCTCTTTCTTGTCTTCTTTTTACTCCTTATTGAATCTGATTCTTGTCTTTCTTTCTTTTTCCAGAGGCAATCAAAGGATCACCACTCAACACTCCCTCTTTAGCCTTTGATTTGTTTTCCTAATTCCAGCTTAGGGTTTTGAATTTTGATGCCCTTGATTCTTCTCGGCTTGTTCCTTTGCTAGTTTGACGATCACTCATTAGAACGTCAGCATAGCTCTTGGGTAAGTTTCATTTTTCAATATCCTTCTTGTTATGGGTTTTTATGGATTCAGCTCCCTTTTCCCCTTTTTGTTTCGTGGCTCCCTCTTGAACCGTTACCTTATCAATTTCTATTGATTTCAGTTTCTTCTCTTTCTCCAGATTCTTTGCTGAGAATCCTCTGCTTCCTTCCTCATTCGTAATGATTTTCTGCTTATCACAATCCAGTAATTTCCTTACCTCTCCCTTGTTTGAGCTTTGCAGCTTCTGCTTCTCTTGGCAATTTGTTTTGTTCTTGTCAGTTGGTTCTGAGTTCTGGTAATTCCGATGCTCTTTATCTCCTAGATCATCTTTGCTTTCCATTGAGTCTTCTCAGCATCTTTGTTAAGTCTGGCTTTTCCGATTCTGCCGATTATCTTGTCAATCAACTTCTTCTCCTTCTCCTTCAAAGAAAAGTTTGCCTTTTGTTGATTTGTATCACTTTTGATCACCATCTTATTTAGTTTGGTTTCTTGAACAACTTCCTTGGTTTCCTTAATCTCAACTTCACTTTTGTTGAACTTAGTCTTCCTCTGATTCTCAATGTTGATCTCAGGCTTCTTCTCCTTTTTTGTTGCAGGGTTTTCTTCAGGTTTCCATTGCTCTGACATCACTGAGCTAGAAGCTTCAACATACCCTGCTCCTTGATAACTTGTTTCAGTCTCTTACTTTGACACTGGGTTCATTGCCTCTTTGCTTAATGGCTTGTGAAGATGGAAGATTTTCTTGGCCATTTCCACTTCAGCAATTTTTCTTCCAACTTAATCAAGGATGATGCAGCTTCGGTGCTTAAAGGTAACTGTATATCCGTTTGCAATCATTTGCAAGACATTTAGAAGATTCTTAGCAAATTTAGGCACTAGAAGCACATTCTTGACCATTCTCTTCCCTTTGGTTGTCATAACTTCAATGTCACCTTTTCCCTTGGTAGTTAATGCATTTCCATCACCAACTCGGATTAGAACTTTGAAGCTTGTATCAAGTCTTGTGAACAGCTTCTCATTTGGAGTCATGTGCTTAGTGCAACCACATCAATGAACCAGGTGTTTTCTTCGAAGAGTTTTTCATCTTCTTGTCTTGCGGAGAACATATGGTAAACTCTTCTTCTTCATTCTCTTCTTCTTCTGCATATGGTAAACCCGATATGCAGCAAGATAAAGATGTCATACATCGATTCAATCATTTAATATGACGCTGCAGCTTTCTTTTGCGAATCCTATTCTGCGTTTGAAACACCAGCCAATACCTACAAAGAAAGGCAAGTTCGAATTCTCCATAAGGTCAAGACTACAGGTCAGTTTCTTATCTCTTGTTCTATTAGAGAAGAAATGATTAAAAACGTGCTTTGTGATTCTGGAGCCTGTCTTAACATGATGTCCAAGGCAATTGCTTTGAGACTTGGTATTAAACACCTGCGCAGGACTAGAGCAAAGATTAATTTAGCTGATGATTCCAATGCAACGCCTCAAGGAATAGCTCATGAAATTCCTTTGAGAATAGGAGATTGCATAGTGCATGTCGACTTCTACGTTGTCGAGACGAGAGATGCAACATATCCAGTGATTCTCGGATGGTCTTTTCTAGCAACTTCCGGAGCTATAATGGACTGGCCAAACCGGACGATTTCATTTGCTAATATCAAAAAAGATGTCTTCACAGAGGCTGTCCCATACAACAGCAAAGCCGGAAAACGTTCTGCAACAGAAGAGTTTGAAGAAGAACTTTGGAGTGACGAAGAACCTGCTAGGCAAAGCAAGCAGATGTCAAAAAAGACTTGTCTCAGGACAAGGTCTTCTTCATTGGACTAAGCCACGTCCAACACCAAAAGTCGAGCTAAACGACTTAAAACAGAATCGCTTAATGGGAGGCAACCCATTTAGGTATTGTTTTCTTTAGGATTTTTGTTTCTTTTTCTATTGATATTTTTCTTTTTCTTAGTTTCAGGTGTTTCTTATAAAACAAAAAAGCCAAAAAAAATCAAAAAACCCGAAAAAACCAAAAAGAAAGATGGTCCCTGACTGCTCGGCCCAGCAGGAACCAAGGAGAAGCAGGAAGAGGCCGCGAGATAAGCCCCCGCGGTCACAGGTGTTATGACTGCAGGAAACACCCCTTCGACCGCGGCCGCGTCTTCCTGACCGCGGCCAAGCACAGGTTTGCCGCGGTCGCGTGGCTCTTGAACGCGGCAAATGGTCGTTGAGATCAAACCCGACCCCAAACCACCCACTTCACCTCATTCCACCTCACCAATCCTCACTCCACCTCATTCATCACCCTCCACCACCTTCATCACCACCTATCACCTTCCCAAACATCTTCGAATGAATCCGGTTCATCTCCACCAGCATCCCGGATCCAGGTAAGTTCTCTTTGGCCTTACCAATTCGATTATCTATGCATTTTTCTCATCCAATCTCGACTTGTTTCACACTGAGGACAGTGTGATTTAAGTCTGGGGGAGGATTTCATCCCTTTCTAACCACTTTTCTTTCATGAGTCTTGCATTATCTACACTTTTTGCATTTTCCTTAAAGTTTTTCAAAATCGGTTTTCAAAACAAAATACGTTTTAAAGGGAATGGTGAACATGAATCAATGATAGTTTACTGTGTGCTTTTAGACTGTTCCTAGTGACATGCTCATTCATGAATTAGGACTAGACTAGGTGGTAGCTAAGCACATTTGAAACGAAGTACCCCAGAGGAATTTGAATGATTTCGATTTAGATGAAGGAATACACTAGCTCTGTTTATTTGGACTTAATCTGGACTTAATTTTCTCATTAAAGCTTTAGACCAGGGAAACGAATCATACATTCAGGACTCCTTTATCCTTTTACCCCTCTCAGTTGATCCTGAATGGCTAGTTCATTTTTAGCTAGTTCCCCACCTTAACCAATCCTCTTTCAAACCACATGTACTCTTGTTTTCTATTGTCTTATATGCATATAAGTGCAAAAACGTTGGAGAGAAAGAGGAACGACGCAATTATCAGTCACCAAGGACAGAGACCTGCGATTTGCCGGAAAAGTTCCTGGAAGGATTCAACACAAGAGGAAGCTCAGTTTGCCTTAGAAAAATCTCCTATTTTGGTACAATCTCGTCCTCTAGTCTCTCTCTCTTTAAAAGGCATTTCCTTTCCAAAAAAAAAAAAAAAAATTCAAAAATAAAAAAGAAAGGAAATAAAAGCCTTAGAGAGTCTAGAGAGACCGAATTTTAAGTCCCAAGGCAACTGGAATTCGAATTTTATGGAGTTTTGGAGATCATTTTCTGATTCCCGGAAAGAATCTAAGTCTGGGGGAATAGCTGTTCACAACAAAGGAGGAAGGATTATGCAGCAACATTTGGCAAGAAGAAGTGACTGAAAATTGCGGTCATCAACAGGTCCTTATCTCTCTTGCGGTTTTGCATATTATCTAGCATCCTCCAGATCTTCAGGTAACCCGAAACACTTTAACTCCACCACTTAAACAGCCCTTTAATGCCAAACACCGTCTACCCTGGATGATGTCTTTAATGAGAACTCACTATTAAACTTAATGAATGTAGAGAGCTAGTTGACTGGAATCAAGATTTAGATTGTTTAAGTTTTGCATGACGGAAAAAGTGGACTAGTATCTTTTGTGTATTGGTGAGAATTTTCTAGACTAAGTTGTGGATTGATGCACTATCTTTGGTCCTAGTTTAGGAGTTCATGTCTCTGAGATTTGTGCATTCTCTATTTTTGTTTTCACTTAACCAGTTTAGGCTTTTGCTTTGTTTGAGGACAAACAAAAGTTTAAGTCTGGAGAAGTTGATAACACCGTATTTTGACCACTTTTATGGATCGTTTTGAAATACTTTTTCTATGTTTTTACTTGCTTTTAAGTACTTTTATTACGTTTTTCTAGTATTTGTAGTTCCAAGACTCTTTTCAGGTAACTTAGGGAAAAACTTAACAAAATGGATAGAAAACCATATTTCAGCTCAGAGTCAAACCGTCAGAAGTTCACCCCTGATTGATTCTCACCGTCTGATCCAGCTCAAATTTGGAGACATTAAAGATGGAAGTATCAGCTTTCCAGCACACTTTACAGCTTGGCAATCCAACGGTTCAATCAAAAGATACGCGAAGAGCAAGATGTCCCGTAAACCAGCCGGCAAGCGTTTCCACCCGCGGCCAACAAAGCATTTCCCGCGGTCAGAAGCACCGCGACCGCGACCAGCCACCCATTTCCCGCGGTCGGGGGTCGCACTCATCCCGACCGCGGCCAGCCAATTCCGACTTTGAAGGCCTATTTCTGAAGTTTGTATCACTTTCCAAGCCTCAATTCCGGAACCCTAGACACCAGAGAGTATTGGAGACTATAAATACATGTCATTTAAGTCGTTTTTAAAGAGAGAAGAGAGGAGAGACGAAATACTTTACAGAAATTTTACTTTAAGCTTTGTTTTTAGGTTTTAGGGAGAGAGATATTTGTCTCTTGAACCCTTGTTCTTTCTTTTTCAATTTCGGTTTCTATTCTACTTTTTAATACTATGTTTTTGATTTCGTTCATTATGTCTGAGTAGTTTTATTGTTGGGATTAAGGGATTTTTGATGGAGATTTATATGTTCGATGAGGATTCCATGAGCTTTTGAGCCGAATCTTAGAACTTTTCTTCTGAATTCGTTTTTACTGCATGAGAGTATCGTCATGAACTACAATCTGATCCAGATGCTTCGTGACACGAAAGTGTTCATCCGGTGTCAGATCTAGTTTGGGAGAGCAAAACAAACATAGGAGTGGAAACCTACCTATGGGCGATTTGTGAATGCTGACGAGTCTTAAACATAATGCATCTCTTCTTTTCCAGGGCCAGAGTGGAAACCAACTGGTTAGGGTTGAGAGAGATAGTTGTCTATGATCACGACAGTGGCGTATTCATACGTCCGTGACTCCAGTTCGAAAAGTTTAAGCTAAGATCTTATCAAATTTACTCTCTAGCAATGTTTTGAATCGTTCGTACCCCTGAGAAAACTTCCCTGAAGCCCAACACTTTCTTTCTTATAGATTCACACCGTTTTATTTCAAGCTGTAGTTCAATATTTTCATTCCCTTTCAATCGATTTTCATTTAAGCAATTAGGTTAGCCGTTTTTCCCCTTTTTACCCGTTTTCGTTAAGTTTAGTTATTAGGTCATGTTAATTCTCGTATCTTCTCTTTAAGATTCTTTTTTACATTTTAAACACACCACCAAAACCCCCCACAAAACCGCTTGGTTCTAGACTTCCTTACTTTATATTTCTTTCGAAGGCTTTTGCAGGAAAGATCCTCCTTCCCTGTGGATTCGATCCCTAAGTACTACAATCGATCAGCTGTGCACTTGCGGCTATTGATTTCATTTAGGGTAAAACTTGACAACCCTCAACACGACAGCACACCACCTAGTTTGCCATAGGTGAAACAGCTTCTTGTATCTTTGTTCTGTTGAACTTAGGTATGCTTTATCCATTCTTGAAGTAACACACTTCTTCATTGTGAGTATCTCTTTTACAGAATTCACACCACCTTTTTTCTCTGTAGTTATTTGGACTTATGTTGCCTCTGTCATTGTTCTCCATTTTCAGATTCTTAAACCGAGCATGGAAGGCACCTTCAGCATTTTCTTCCTCTTCATCTAGAATTTTTTTTTTCTTAGAACCTATCAGCTCCGCATAGGTAACTGAGTTGAGATCCTTGGTTTCTTCCATCAAAGAGGTTAAGCCTGCATAACTCTTAGGAATAGATGCTAGCATTTTAACTACCAAGTCAAAGTTTGATCTATCTCCACTTAATGTCCTCATTTGATTTGCTACAGATTGTATCCTATCAGAGTAGGCCTTAAATTTTTCTCCTTTCATTTTCAAATTCTCAAACTCTTTTCTTAAGGACTGTAGCCTAACCATTTTCACTTTTTCATTACATTGATAGGAATGTTCCAGGAGATCCCAAGCCTGTTTTGCAGTTGTTGCAGAAAAGATTTTGTCAAAGATGGTGTCAGCTACGGCATATTGAATGATTTGAAGTGCAGCTGTATCCTTGGCTTTGAGTGTCTTCAGGTCTGTAGCTTCTTTTGACTTATCGGCTCCTGGTGTTTCAGGTGATTTTGATAGCGATTCTGGAGGTCCTTCCTTGATAATCTCCCATAATTCCTTGTTCATCAGAGTCGTCTGTATCCTTACTGCCCAGAACTCATAGTTCTGTCCATCAAACACAGCAACTGGTTGAGATGATTGCAGGTTAATCGATATATTTGAGCTTCACTTTCTTTCCTCTTTTTTGTTTTCTTCTTCTTGTGCTTTCTTCAACAGGCTATGAGGACAACCTGGCTCTGATACCATGTTGTGATTCTCTCTTTTTCTCACTCAAGTTTATTTTCTTCTCTTTTGCAAGTTGTTTTCTCTTACTCTCATTAGTATTCATTAACTTATCTTATACATATTTCTTCTTCACATATACATATAGGAAGTTTTCGATACTGTTTTCAATATGATTGTGAATTTTTCATATAACGCAAATATTAAAAATTCGCCACTGCTACTCCCTTTCACTTACTACACTAAACCTTTAACTCTATAACTTAGACTGTCTTACACATATCACTCTACTAAATATTATACTTAACTACTCTTACAACTGTTACTTAGACTCTAACAACTCTCACTGTTCTTATTTGGTTCTTTTGCTAACTTTATATAACAAGACATTCTTTCTCCTGGGCCTAAATAATCTGCACCTCATTTCGCTTCATAAGGCCGCACCACACAATGAGCCCATTTTTCCTTCGGTTGATTTTACCTCTTTGACCACTTATTCTTCTTCACGGCATTTTTCTCCTTCTTGTCTTTTTTCAACTTCTCATTAATTATGATTCTTGTTTTTCTTTTCTTTTTCAGAGGCAATCAAAAGATCACCATTCAACACATTCATTCAAAAAAAAAAAAATATTGCTAACTTTTACTATCAAAGTACAAGATCAAATGAAGAAAGTAAGGGAAAAAACCTAAAATAATCTCTTCTTTATTAAAAACTAATTTTTTTAAGAATTCTATTAAAACTAGTTTTTTAATACTAAATTATATAAATATTCAAATTAAAAATAACATAAGAATAAATTAAAAATAACAAAAATTATATCACTAATTCCTGTCACTTATCCGTATTTTTCAGTTCTGAAATACTAAATAAAAAAGACCCAAATTATTTTATTTGCCCTGATTTATGTTGGGCCGGCCATGTCCAACAGATATGAAACGAAATGGAAATTATGGGATGCATGGCTCCAGATATAAAACATGACTAACATTTTTTCATAGCTTCTACAGATTTTTTAGTCAGATTTTAACTTCATCTTTGTTGATGTTTCTTCTGCGGTAGTTATTACATTCCACGAATGATATACATGTGACATGTCATCTTACAAGAGAAAATTATACTTTTTGAAAAAAAAATATTTGGAGTAACTAACGAAAACCTTAAATTCATACAAAGTTATAAACCACAAAACCCTTAAAAAGGTTGACATTGAATACTTTTTGGTTTTTTATTAATCGTAGGAGTTCTGAGCTTTCATCAACTAATCTTCCTCAAGATTCAGAGTCAGTCTTTAGATATTCCATTTTTTATATAAAAAAAAAACCTCCATCCCAAATGGAATTTGACTCAGGGGCACAAAGGAATCAATAGCTTCTACAGATAATTATTTATGAAGAACTCAAAAAAACACACAGTAAAACTGTACATCAATATTATCTAACTTTTTTGTTCTATATAAGAGTAATCTTCTCAGTTCTCATATATTTCATATAGGAAACCCAATGTAAATATTTTACTGGTAAATATTTTTATTAAATATTTTTAAGCTTTTCATTTTATAAGAAAACTTATCTACTGTCATTGTTGCTAAAAAAAATTTAGATATCTATTTTGGATATCTATTTTGGTAATTGTACACACGTAAAAGAAAAATGAAAACCAAAATGTAACGAAATAGAAATATTTATCTTATAAATCAAAACTTTCCAAAAAACATAGTTCAGACTTCAGAGGCAAAACTAAAGAAATCATCATACAGGTTTTCTATAAACCTTAAATATACTATAGAAACGACCAACAACAACAAATAAAACAAAAACCATATTTAAGAAACTCAAAAGTCACTGAAAAACTATTCCCGAAATTTTAACCCAAAAATACTTATTCCCGAAGTTCATATTCATATAAGATTATATGTTGCAGATTCCAAGCACCAAGTAAAAATCAAGTCACGCATGTGCTCTCACATCTCGTGTTACTTCCCTCGACGTGAGGCCAACTTTTTTTGTTTTTTTTTTCGCTTGACATACAATTTCTCGAATTGATTAAGACTAAATTAATATTATATAGGGAGGTTTTTTTAATACGTATTGTTTTGGATTAAATTGTTGAAACATATTTGAATCAATCCGAACCAAAACAATACGTATTAAAAAATAAATTTAATCTAAAACCATTCGGGTTTAACACTAAAACAAAAATCCAAAACAATGGTTTAGTGCGTACCAAACCAAAAACCGAAATAAATTTATACTAAAACCATTCGGGTTTAACACTAAAACAAAAATCAACCCGAATTCTGAAACCTCCCTATATACGTATATATATATATAATACGTATTGTATCAGTCTAACAGTTCTGAAACCTCATCCAAATCTGCAGCAAGCGGGTCTCAAAGTGGTCAAAGTTGTCAAGAGTCACAAGAACAAGAACTTGGTAATATTTTTGATCAGATGGATTTGGATTTTGAGAGTGGGTATGAAAGAATGGATTTTGTCTACAAGGAGATGGTAGATGAATTAGGAGACGAAGATGTGGGCTCAGAGTTGGATACATATTTGAAGGAGAAGTGTGAAACTCCAGAGACAACCATGTTCGGTCAAGAGTATGATGTGTTAGGATGGTGGAAGCTGAATAGTGCTAAGTTTCCGGTTCTTTCAGAGATGGCAAGGGATGTGCTAGCGATACAGGTTTCGTCTGTCGCCTCCGAGTCGGCATTTAGCACAAGTGGACGTATCTTAGAGCCTCACCGTAGCTGTTTAACTCATAACATGATAGAAGTGCTTATGTGCCTTGAGCAATGGTTGAAGTGTGAAGTTCGGTTGAATGAAAGAGGGATTATTACAAAGGAAGAAATGCTTGCTGACATTGAATTGCAAGATGAACTTGAGAGAGGTAAGTTTGTTATCTATTCTTTTAGGTTTCAAGGTTGTTTTTTTGGTTTTTGCAGTTTTACAAGTTTTTATGTTTTTTTGTTTCAGATATTGAATCTCAATGCAACTTCAACCTCTAAAATCAGTAGTCTTCCGGTTATAAGGTAATATATATTGCACTATCTCTTCTTTTTATTCTTCGTTGTTTCTTATTCAAATTCCACTTCTCCTTTTGTTTACAGGAAAATGGCGAAGTTTTGAAGAGTTGAAGACTCTTCTTAAGTTATCTTTTTCATTGTGTTCTTCTTCTCTTTTTAGTTGTTTTTGGAATTTTGTTTTTGTTTGGTAATTGGTATTTTGGAATTTGGATTGTGTTTGGTGAGGAACTGAGAATACTTAGTAGAATGATGTTTTTCAAACTTGCAGAATAATTTTTCTGTTCGTTTTTACGTTTGACATTTGAAATTGCTTGGATTTTTTGGTTATTTTTGGTTTAATCTGGTTTAGGGCTTAATTATTCATGAATTATTTTGGGTATCTTGGTTTACTCGGGTTTTTTTGGTCTAAAACCGAACCGAATCAATTGGAATTTTTTTTTTGGTTCTGTATCGGGTTTTGATTTAATTTATAAACCCGACCCGAACCCGAGAAGACCCGAACCGAACCGAACCAACCCTAAAAAATTTCGGTTCCTAAACGGATCTAACCAAATCAAAATTTCGGGATCCAAAACCCGTGGACCCGAGCCGAACCCGATCCGAGGACCCGTATGCCCAGGCCTACTCTGTATTTTGCTAGTAGCATATCTTACAACTTTTATTTTGTTTTATAACCGGGATAGTTCTCGGACCAAACAAGACTAACTTTCGTTTGACCCTACAATTTTTACGAACTTGTTGAATTAATTATAAAAAACCAATCTTTAGATGTCATAATACTATGCAATTACACATTAACGGGAATATTATTAGATATGCAACATTTCACGACGAAATGATTTCCTCACGGTTGCTGAAGTTTTTTTTTTTTTTTTTGCTGAAATATAGTAAAATTTTAAGTTTGAAAGAAGTAAACATGTTGACAAAAAAAAAAAAAAAAAGAAGTAAACATAACATTAAATTTTTAATTAACGGGGTAAAACATCAAGGGCATGTCATTTTTTGTTTTCTTCTTTTGTGCCCGTTTAATTTTTTAATTAGGGAGTCAAAAAAAAAAAAATTCCGTAAATCAAAATTCGAAAATTTTCAAATCGGGCTTTTGTTTATTTTTTCCGTGTTTGTCCTTTTTCCCAACGGTCGGATCACGGATTTTACAACATAACGGCTCAAAATTTAACGCCGTCAGCTCCATTAGCGTCTAACAAGTCAAACGCCTGCGCCTGCCGTAACGGTTCTTATTATTTTTTTATTATTATATATTTTTTTAATCCTTCCGAAATTCATTTTGTGCTCCCCTAATTTTCTTCGTCTAATTAAATTTAACCTTTCTCTTGCGTCTTTCTCTATATTCTTTCTTCTCTCTCGTCGGACGATAAACCACCATCGCCAGAAAAAAATTCAAATCGATTTGCTCGGCGTAAAGACTCTCCTCAAGATTTCTTCGACGGAATCGGAAACTAAACTCATACATTCCTCTGTTCGATCGGTGCATTTTTCTCTGGTAATTTCCTGTTTCCTTTCTTCTCCCCCCAGAATTTCTGGAGATTCATCGGCGCATTTCAAGTTTTTCATATTCCATTTCTCGTTTCTAATGGCTGTTTCGCGATTCGACTTGTGTTTACGTGTAAGTTGTGGGTAGAAACTTCGATTAATTGAAAAACGGATTCGTTTTTGGTCGTGATTCGCTGATTATTTGGATCCTTAATAGTTTTTTTTTAGATAGCATTGATGAATTTGTGAGGTGAATCGATTTTTAGTTAACCTGATTGTGATCTAAACTTATCTGTGTGGATCCTTGACTTTGGCATCAAGCTTTAAGCTGATTTGTTTCCATTTTGATGCAGGGATAGATAGTTTTTGTTGCTTACGAGCTATTAAGAAGGAAGGCGAAGACATGGATTCGAATCAATCAAAGAGAGGAGGTTCGACAAAATCTCCATGTCAAACTCCACGTTCAACTGACAAGTCAAATCGAGATCTCCGAGGACCTGACTCGAACTCGAACTCATTCAACAAGAATGAGAAAGAAAAGGGTGTGAATATACAGGTCATTGTTCGTTGCAGGTACATTTCTCGAAATTATCCTTTTTGGCAGGACGATGATTATGTTTCTCGCTTTTTTTGATGGACTAAATCTTCACACTGGTGGGTTTTGTAATGTCAGACCATTTAATTCGGAGGAGACGAGGTTACAAACACCTGCGGTGCTCACTTGCAATGACCGGAAAAAGGAAGTGGCGGTAGCGCAGAACATCGCTGGGAAGCAGATTGATAAAACGTTTTTGTTTGACAAGGTTTAGTTAAATCTCAATTGAAGTTCTCATTTAATTTTTTGGTTTAATCCTGTAGCTTTTTAGATAGTGTGCATAATGCAAAATTTTGTGTGCTATTTTTCCAAATTGAAAGAAGGATTAGGAAAAATGTATTGGCATCCTGCTTATATAAGTTCATGGAATCTTGTTAGGTTTTTGGTCCAACATCCCAACAAAAGGACCTGTATCATCAAGCAGTTTCTCCCATTGTCTTTGAGGTTCTTGATGAGTATAATTGCACCATCTTTGCATATGGGCAAACAGGAACTGGGAAGACATACACAATGGAAGGAGGAGCAAGAAAAAAGGTACGCCAAACTTCATTTAAAGCATTTTCACTCATGTTAAGTGAATCCTCATATTAATATTAATGATTATTCAGTCGAAAAAATAAAAAAAGTGAATCCTCATTTTAATGGAACCTATTTCTTGCCAGAACGGTGAAATCCCGAGTGATGCAGGAGTTATCCCTAGAGCAGTGAAACAGATATTTGATATACTGGAAGCACAAAGTGCTGCTGAATATAGTTTGAAAGTATCATTTCTTGAGCTCTACAATGAAGAATTGACTGACCTTTTGGCTCCGGAAGAAACGAAATTCTCAGATGATAAATCAAAGAAACCTCTTGCCCTTATGGAAGATGGAAAAGGTGGTGTTTTTGTCCGAGGACTGGAAGAAGAAATAGTGTCTACTGCTGATGAGATTTACAAAGTCTTGGAGAAAGGGTCAGCCAAGAGACGCACAGCAGAGACTCTTCTCAACAAACAAAGTAGTAGATCTCATTCAATATTTTCGGTTACAATCCACATCAAGGAATGTACTCCAGAGGGGGAAGAGATAGTCAAAAGTGGAAAGCTAAATCTAGTTGATCTTGCTGGTTCAGAGAATATCTCACGCTCTGGTGCTCGAGAGGTACACATCACAGTAAAGATTTTCTCCTCTTACAGTATGCCTTCTCTTGATGATTTTACTAAACAATACTCTATTGTAGGGAAGAGCCAGGGAAGCTGGCGAGATCAACAAAAGTTTGCTCACACTCGGACGTGTCATAAATGCTTTGGTTGAACACTCTGGTCATATTCCATACAGGTAACAGAAAGATTTTTTGCCTTCAGAGATATCTCTCTATTTGAGACATGATCTTTAATCATATGATTATTACGCGTTTTAATTTCAGAGAAAGCAAGTTGACAAGATTATTGAGAGACTCTTTGGGAGGAAAAACAAAAACATGCGTAATTGCTACAGTTTCACCCTCTGTTCATTGCCTGGAAGAAACACTCAGCACCCTTGATTATGCACACCGTGCAAAACACATCAAAAATAAACCAGAGGTCCGTCAAAACGCATGCTGCTTTTTTTTTTCTTCTAATTTCTGCCATTTTAGTTATATAACACTCCCCCTTCTGCATTCAGGTTAACCAGAAGATGATGAAATCAGCTATTATGAAAGATCTCTATGGAGAAATTGAACGTTTGAAGCAAGGTATCTATTTGTCACATATTGTGGATCGTCTATCAAATACTTATTGCATTGGTTAACGTGTCTTTTCTTGACTGTTTAGAGGTCTATGCCGCAAGGGAGAAAAATGGAATCTATATTCCAAAGGAGAGGTATACTCAAGAAGAAGCCGAGAAAAAGGTGCAGTTCTTATTAATGAATATCCACTGTCATTTATAAATTTAGATGATAGATCTTACTTCATTCTGTATCGGTTGCTGCAGGCTATGACTGAAAAGATAGAGCAAATGGAAGTAGAGGGTGAAGCTAAAGACAAGGTGAGCAGTTCAGTGTATAGTGCAGTTTTCTATTTCTGTTTTGGTTGTAAGATTAATCGCAACTGGCTCCTTCTAAACTACTAAATATGCTGACTATCCTGCTATCCTGGTTGTTGAATGTAGCAAATTGTTGAGCTTCAAGAGCTGTACAACTCGGAGCAGCTTGTTACTGCTGGATTGAGAGAGAAGCTTGATAAGACTGAGGTATCTATCACAAGTTTTTGTTCTGTGCCGAGCACACTTACCTTTCCGCGGACATGCAAGCATTAACTTCTTATACCCTTTTCTTCTCTGATTTCAGAAAAAGCTCTTGGAAACTGAACAAGCATTGCTAGATCTCGAAGAGAAACATAGACAGGCAGTCGCAACAATAAAGGAAAAAGAGTACTTGATATCCAATCTCCTTAAATCTGGTATGTTGGTTATCATCTTTCTATGATGTGGTTACAAGCTAATAAGTTCATCGATGTTTGTTCAGATGATACATAGGTTAACCTTTTTCACATTGCCTCAGAGAAAACACTTGTTGACCGTGCTGTCGATCTTCAGAAAGAGTTGGAAAATGCAGCATCTGATGTTTCCAACTTGTTTGCCAAAATTGGTTTGTATTTGCTCTCTCTCTCTTCTCTTCCATTATTGTTGCCATCACATTCTTAAAACTCACTAAGCTACTGATGATTCCAGAGAGGAAAGACAAAATTGAAGACAGTAACAGATCGCTCATCCAAGAGTTCCACTCACAATTGCTACAGCAACTCGAACTCTTGAACAACAGTGTTGCAGGATCAGTGAGCCAGCAGGAGAAACAATTGCAAGACATGGAAAAAGTTATGGCATCTTTTGTATCCGCAAAGACAGAGGTAACTAAAACACGAAAAGAAATTATTCGTATCAACACTGATGCTTATCTTCTATTATTTGTCTGTACCTTTTTATTAACATACACACGAAAACAAACTTTGTTTGATCGTCTTCTCTGCAGGCTACTGAAACACTACGGGGAAGTTTAGCACAGTTAAAGGAAAGATACAATTCAGGCATCAAGTCTTTAGATGATATAGCAGGGAATCTG